CATTTAAAAATTATTTTTTAGGTTTCTTCTAAATTATTTGAAGTAGGAGTTCGTGGTTATTTACTTGTGGCTAAGTTATGAACATTTATGAGGTCTTCAGATATTCTTCAAAATGTTGTCACTATATGTTCTATTATATATTATTATTTAGATTAAAAATGTTTTTGAATACCCTAAGAAGCTTTTATCTTGTCAATAATGTATATTAGTAAGTTAATGATTATTTTATTACTTATTTTATATTTACATTTCATGAGAATAATTGCTGATTTTGAAATATACTCTGATCACAGTACAGATGTTAAAGGTATTTTTACTTGATTTTTCACTAAGCATTTGGGTATTTTTCACTTGTCAACTACATTTCTTTGTTTAAACCATCAAATTATTATTTTATCTTGTCTTTTATTTTAATTCATGCATTTAAAAAACTGATATTCAGATAAAAGATCATTTCAAAATAAAATCAGGATATTATTTATGAGCAGAGCAACACATTAGCATTGGGTTCACAATAGATCATATCGCTTTTATTTCATCGTACAAGCTTAGCAGCACAAACAGAATAATCAACATATTATTTGCCTGTCATGTGCTGAACAGAAACCAGAGATCACAAGGAGGTTTTCCCTAGCTGTGGTGATGGCCTTTTTGTTCCAAGCCCCCATCTGGGAGGGCCATGGTGTGTTATCATATGGAACGCGGGGTTTTCTGTAATCTGCTTAGCTGCACTGCCGTTTGAATTTTCATTCCATGTTTGTGTAATTTATAATTTTAATGAGACCGTGGCTCTTGTGGGCTTTGAAATATATTAAAAGCTCTTTTGTGCATATGCTTTTGTTCTTGCTTAATAGGCTCAGTGTATTTAAAACTGATGAATTTTTATTCATGAATTTGGATGTCAGGAGATTAACTTAGACTGAATATCATTGCACTCATCTATTGATGGTTAGAAAGTTTTTTGTTATTGTTATTTTCTTTTGCTTGTTTTTGTGTGGTGTGTGTGTGTATCTGTGCGCATGCATACCTGTTTGATACTTGTAACTATAAAAGGTTCAACTTACATAATTTTAAGAGGCTGGAAAAAATGACTAAATGATAAAGATTCTTAAATTTTATCCATGTTATTTATAGATATTCAAATATCATTAGCATAGTATTTTAAATAAATATTGTGAAGGAACAGTTATGAAAAAGCAACTTTTAAGTAAGGTAATGCCTTAAGTATTTTATTCATATCCTATTGTTAAAATCATATTCAAATATTTGGTAAAGCTGACTTTGTATTTTATCATATAACTTGTCTGTGGTCACCTTAAATGAGTCATTTATTTATTTGATTAAATTAGACGTGTTACATATTTTAACTATTTTTAGTATTCCTTATTTTTGTGAAGTCATTTTTAAATGAAAGCTTTAAAAACCCTACTAATGGATATGATGAAAAGACTCATGGAAAAGCAACTTACTAATAATTATAAGATTGATTTTGCTAATGTTCAGAAATAGACTAAATGCTTAAATCTCTGTATTTCCTACTGAAATGTACTTAAAATTTTTAATATAAATAATTATATATCATTGTAGAAAAACTCATGGTCCCTTATAAGCCCAGGCACATTTGTTTGTTTGTTTTTAAAACTTTCCTATTTGTTTTTAAAGCTTTTCTATTGCACTCAATTAGGTGTGACACACATAAGTAGCCCAGGAGGAATTTAAAAAAAAAAGCTACATATTTATGGAAGTTTCATTTGGGAAGATAAAAAACTTTTGAGAAAAAAAAAAAAAGATTATTTGATGGGTATGTTGACATTTGCCTGTAGTCCCAGCACTTGGGTGACTGAGTCAGGAGACTCATCACGAGTTTAAGGTCAGCCTGGGCTGCATAGTGAGATCCTGTTTCATAAAACACAACTCAAACCAAACCTAGATTTACCTTACTGAAGCATTTTTGTAGCTTATGTGTGCAATAACCAGAAGTTTGAGAGAGTTCTTTTCCTCCTCCTCCTCCCTTTAATCTAGAAATATTATATAGAAAGGATCTTCTACTTTCTTTCCTAAGTTTACCTCTCAGATTTGTAACTAGAATGTCTGTCCTTCCCTAATAACTTTCTGTTCTAGTACTTTTATTATACAATGTCATTTAGTTTTGGAGGATATTATTGAAAATCACCAGTGCACTGTACATTCAGGCAATACATGCATACACATAAAATAATAAATAAAATATTTAAGAAAATTTGTGATGGGAAAAGCAGTGTTGTCCAACAGTAATTTAATATGAAACTTACATTTCTTAACCAGCTATCTCCCAAATATTACCTGTTACATGAGTAATTCTCATCAGATACTGAACAGATAAGCTTAAATATACTGTGATGATGAGAAAATGGTTAATGTAATGAATGAGCAATGTTCTTCAGGAATTGTGGGTGATTGAAACTTGTCAAACTGTATTTCAAGTACGCTGAAGAGCTGAGTTTTACAAGAATCAAATGATAAGTCTTAATACATAAAAAAAATAAGGCTAACTTTTTATATCATTAGCTTTCTTTTTATATGTTTACTTAGAGTTGAAACAGCTGTAACTTCTTGGGAAAGAAAAGGTGATTGTAAAACATTGTTTTCTAAATTTCTCTAGAATTATTTACATTGAAAATGCTCTGCATGATACTACGAGATGCTGCTTCATAGAAGAAATATTTTTCAAGTATATAGTTAGGAATTATAAAATTCTGGGGCTGGAGAGAGGGCTCTGTGGTTAAGAGTGCTAGTTGTTCTTGCACAGGACCCAGGTTCAATTCCCAGCACCCACAAGGCAGGTAACAACCAACTGTAAATCCAGTTCCAGGGGATTTGAAGCCCTCTTCTAACCTCCACAGGCATTGCACAACACAGGTGCACCTACCTACATGCAGGCAGTACACTCATACACATAAAGTAATAAAAAAATTATAAAATCCTGAATGTCAATGAATTAAAGTTGATTCAAATATTTTAAATTATGGTTCTCCATTGATTAGGGGGATTTATATTAAATATACCAGGTATACTTATTTTTTTTTTTACATTTAAAAAATCTTTAATAATCACATAATTAGTAGAAGCATTTCATTACATCAGCATGAATACATTTCCAGTAAATCTAACCTCCCCAAACCATGCCAGATTTGTTATTTTAATACCTTTAACATCAAATTCTGCATATAGAATGAATTTTGCTCTGATGGTTAAAAAAAATGACAAGCTTGTCAAGCATTCTGTGTTAACAGTGGACGTAGAAAATATTTTCAGATGGATAAAATGTATATGGTACAGATGTAAAGTTTTCTATGTAAAAATTCTGTACAACTTTCTGTACAATATTGATTCTCATCTGGCATATTCTAATCAGGTTATAGGTCAATAAAGTTTTTGAATTATTTAAAAAAAAATGTAGGCTTGTGCTGAATTGATGGCTTAGTGATTAAGAGCACATAACGTTCTTGCTGAGGACCTGAGTTTGGTTCCAAACACTCATATCAGGCAGCTCACAATTACCTGTACCTCCAACTCCAAGGGATCCAATGCCCTCTTCTGGCTTCAGCAGTTACCTGCACTCACATGTGCATATACTTACATACAGACGTGTACACACAAATTAAAAAATAATAAAAATAAATTTTAATGTAGATCTTATCATAAGTAATTAACTTGGTTTGATTATGGCTTAAAGAAAGTCATAGTCATGAGATCCCTGAGTTTTTTAAACTTTCCGAATTTTGGGTACTATCATTTAATTTTTAGATGCTATAACTTTTATGTAGGTATTAGCTGATGCCTGTTGTATTCCTTGACTCCCTTAAATTTTATTGACTATGCCCTGTGACTTTTGCATTTAAAGTGTTGACACAAGATGTTAAACCACTCTGTAAACAATACCTCTAGTTTCTTGGCAAAGATAAATCCATCCATTGATTTCTTAATTTTATTATGTACACAGTCAATTGTAATCCAAGATTACAGCAAACAAGATGTTAATTTCAAGACCATAATCTATGTACATTTCAATTACAGAGCATGATTGTTACAGAGGCACAGAATAAAGAGGAATAACATTTGTGCTATCCTCACAGGAGCTGTCAATAAAAGATGTAATAGGGGATTTAGGAATCTGGAAATGGCCAACTAATTTATGTGAATCTATTTGATTTCTGCTAGAAAGACCAAGCTCTTTTTCGTCGGCACTGCATATTGCACAGCACAGGCTGTCTATACAAAACCAGGCGGCTGCATATGGATACTCCCTTGATATCATTCACTTGCTGTGTAATCTTATTATGCAAAGTTCTAATCTTCACCTAGAATGAATGCCTCTGGGTCAGAATATAGTCATATCAGGGTTTTTGAGGTCATGTTTTGTGATCCTTAGCTTATTCTTCTAAGTAGGGCTGGGATTTAAAGGGTATTCCCCAGACACTAGCAGAGATAGACAGCAGAACCTGCTGCCTTTCTGGAAGACAAGACCAACATGAGGTCCCTGGTAGGATTAAACTTGATTTGTAGCTGTAGGATTTTTTAACAGATGTATTATTGGACAGGGAATAGGGGGCCACCAGCACAGCAAAATTGAATCATGACTGGCATTCTCAGGGAGTTTGCTGCCTGCTAAAACAGCAGCTGCATGTGGATTTGACTTCTTTCAGGTGAAGCGACTTCCAGTCATTTGGAAAGGATGGGATGAAAAGGAACCTTGGTGATAATTTTGATGTCTGCAAGATTTAGTACCAGTGTAATGGGATTATCGGTAACACCTTCACTGCAGAAAAAGCCACCTGGCGCTATAACTGGCAGCAACTGAGAACTAATCCTTTCCCATCTCTTGGATGTCATTCATGAAGCTCAAAGCGATTTCTACCCTGCTAACTGTGATTAATTTTATAAACAACAAAAAAAACACAGGTGATCAAGGCAAAACATATACTTTTTATTATACTGCATGGCTTTAAGTGATGTGAGTTATAAATTATGTGACATATACAAACTTTGTTGATTCAAAATTTATTAAATTGCTCAAATATCAAAGTTTTTTAATGCTTTTTCTAGTTGAATGTCCAAGTTATTGCTATTAGCAAAGATTCATATTTGAAATTAAATATTAAATATTGTTAAATTCTTTGGAGCATAAGACCCTTACTGTATAATAAAATATATAAAGAAATGTAAGGAATTGAAATAATTTGTTTTGACATACATTTTACCTGCTTTTGATTGTTTCAATTCCTGCTGTTGAACATTTTTGCTGAATAGAACATGTAGTAGTTGAAAATATATAGACATATATTTTTCATAATTAAGGTATGCTGTTGAAATGGCTCTGCGAAAAACATCTGATCTTACTAGCATGTACAAGTCCTAGGATAATTAACTGTAGAACCAAGTGACTTGTTTTTAGAAACCAATGATTCCCAGTCAAGCTTTTCTTCAGCATATAGGGGTTTAGTTATTTGCTATAGAATCAGTGTATTACTTACATTTTAAACATTTTATTTCAACCAAAAACTTTATCAAATACTTTGTTTAGAGGTGTTGTTTTAATATTATTCTCTTAGACTAGCCAGAATAAACAGAGAAAGTGCAAAGAAATTATCCTATCAGTCACCCAAATAGTACACAACATAACTGCCAAGACTGGAAAAGATAATTAGTGTTGTCAGTGTTATGATCCTAGAGGACTTAATTTAAAAATATTTATTCATAGAACTTGATTTTTGTGTTATTGTGCTTTTTGATTTAGTAGTTTTATGTTTAAAAACAGATTATGAAAGCTTCAGTCTGAATGTTTTTAAACTTTATAATTTTAACCGAATATAAATGAAATATTTTCATGAAATTATGAGCAGAGCAAAATCTTTTACTTTACAAATAGCATGTTAATGTACTGATAGCATCTGTTGACATCTACCTTTTTATTGTCCATATAAAGTCTTTTTAGTGGAAAATCATCAAGTAGAATATCAATTTAAATCAAGTTTCTTCATCTGCTCTTCCTGCAAGCTTGTTGTTCTCAGCTGTATTTGATTTGACCAGCTTCAAGCTATAGTGTTGAGTTTCTTTATTTTCACTATATTTGAAGTGACTGAATGAGAAAGCATAACAATGTTTTTCCTTAGCTGTGTATTTTTATAAATTGAAAAATTATTTATTCAAAATTGTATTATCATTTTGAAAAGAGCTACCCATGAACTAGAGCCTAGAGATGTTTTCCCCATGATGTAATTACTTGTATTTTTTTTAACTAGGTAGTTTACTATCAGGATAATATTCTATAGTAGTTAATAATGTTATGTAATTATGTTTTATGTATATTTCTTTTAAGACAAAATTTATCTAAGAACTTGCTTTTATTAAACATAGCAGGAATTTACTTTTTAAATGTTTTATTCAGCTATTAACTAAGTGGCTCTTGGGAGTCTCTATTCCTTCATCTTAGGCCCCATTCTTATTTTATTAGACATTATTTCCTTTGGAAAGTCCGAAATAAATTCATCTTAATTGATGAAATGTGACTTATTGACACATAATTGTGTCACTACAGGTTGAGGTATGTTTGGAGATAAGGGAATGGGATATAAGGTAAGAGAAATGAGACATATTATTGTGAAAGGAGTAAGTCGGGTCTAACAGAGTAGCAGACTGGCAGTTAGGAATTGTTGAGTAGTTAAGACATGATAAAGTTTTTTCTTGTTTTTGAGGTTTATTGACTCAGAGACTCTAAGGAGCCTGCATGTACTATGGTCGGGGAACAGTGACAGCTAGCCTATGATGCTAAATGTTATTTCTTCCATTCGAATTACTATTCTTTTGGTGTTATATGTTTGTAAAAAGTGAATTTAAGAAAGTTAACATTGGTTCATGAAATATATTGAAATATTACCATTACCAATTTATGAGAAAATCTTACAGAATTATCCCAAAGTTGACAATTTAAAATGAAAATAATTAAATTTTGTCATATTTCAAAAAAATGTTGAGCCAGTTTCTATAGCCTAAATGTCAGCATAAGCCCTTTACTGGGCTTCCTTTATGGGAACTTATTAAACTGCAGATTCTGTGGTGTTGCTTCCAAACATTTATTATTACCTATATGATGAGGGCAGGAGGACTCAGATTGTGAAATTGTAATTTTGGTTGACATTCAGCTGTCAAGTAATTTTCTGAGTTAAAGCAGTATTCACTAGTTTAAGCTTTAGAATGATAGCAGTTTTTTACACTAGGAATGAAACATAAAGGCTTAATAAAATCTTTATAGATTATGGGGATCAGACCTCTGAATTTGCAGTTCTGAAACATGAAAAATAACGTCTGTACAAATCTTACAGTAGATTTAGCATTTATAGATTTGATCATTTCATGAGCAGTCCTAAAAGTGATTTAGAAATGGCAGAGTTTGAATGACTTTGTTGGCGAGGCTGCTTGGCTGTGGAGCAGTGCAGCTTGCAGCACTCAGATCCTAATGACTTTTGTTGTTCTGAACTTGCCACAATAACCTCATTTAGGGTCTGAAATGGACATAAATTGTTTCTGAAAATCACTTGACCTCAGATATTCCGAATTATTGTTTCTGGTCCAAATGAAAGTAAGTATGGAATATTTTGATTTTTCTTTGAGACAGGATCTCATGTAGCCCAGGCTGGATTCCCCATATAGCCAAAGGTGATATTCAGCTCCTAATTTACCTGCCTCCACTTCCCAAGTACCAGGATCCACTTTCCTTTTCTTTTTATAAAATTTATTTTTTCTTGAATTTTTACAATTTTCTTTTAAAAATAATATTTTTATTTTATGTGTGAATGTATTGCTTGCGTGTATGTAAGTGCACCTGTGTCATTCAGTGCCCACAGAAGTGAGAAGAGGATGTTGGTACCTCTGGAACTGGAGTTACAGAAGGTTGTTAGCCACCATGTGGGTGCTGGGAACTGAACCTGATTCCTCTGCAAGAGCAGTCAGTGCTTTTAACTGCTGAGCCATTTCTCCAGCCCTGAATTTTTGCAATTTTTATATAATATAGTTTGATGGTATTTAGATCCCACTTATTGTAATATGAACATTTATTTATAAGCTAACATGTTCTCTTCTAGTTTAACAATAACAAAATATTAATCATTTCCTTTAGTCTCAATTAATATTTGACATTATTCATTAGTTATCTGTCTTGTTGCTATGATAAAACACTGACCAAAACTAATTTGGAGAGGATAGGGCTTATTTCATCTTAACTTTATAGTCTACCATTGAGAGAATTCAAGGCAAGAACTCGAGGCCTGAACTGAAGCAGAGACATGGAAGAATGCTGCTCATTGGCTTGCTTCCTCTGGCTTGCTCAGCTGTCTTATACAGCCCAAGCCCACCTGTCCAGGGATGGCACTGCCCATAGTGTGCTATATATATGCACTCGTGTATTTATTGTATGTGTAGGACTCTGAACGAAGACATTTCCTTCTGGTTTTTCATACCATCTAAGCATTATTTATCTTTCCTCTCACTGCCCCTCACCCCCCTTCCTCTCCAGTTAAAGTCCCTCCCCTTTCCTCATTTCCCCTTTAATAGTGCCTGTGTCCTACTATCTCCCTATCTTGAGCTCCTTCTTCCCCTTTATCTCTATGGTTCCTTTCCTTACATCTCTTTACTTCACGTGCCTATTTGATAGTTTCAAAAAAATTCTTTCTCTGAAAGTGAGAGATTGTACAGTATAGTTGTAGAATTTAGGACTAAACTGTCTGCTTTTGAATTCTGTGTCTGACTGTTCTAAGCTATATAAATAGATGCTAAACCTCTCTATCCCTCAGTTTTTTTGTCTGTAAAATGATAGCTAAGTTGTCCTAGTTTTGGATGAGTTAATATATGTTAAGCAGTAAGAATAGTGCCTGGCACACTGCACAAATTACTGTGTCTATGTCTCCATTGTTTTTTTGTTCTTTTTTTTTTTTTTATGTGGTTTTTGAAGGTTTTTTTTTTTATCC